TGAAGGGGACAAACGGGGCTAAGCCCTACATTATCCCGTGCATGCCCATGAAGATAGCCGTTGAGAATATCTCGGCCTTGCAGTTGAAGAAGGGGGTGAAAAGACATGAACCTACGTTCCTGGAAACCCTTTGCATTGAAGATATAGAACGCTCCTCGGGTCCCATTCCTGCACCCGTGAATGAGATGCTACAGGAGTTTGAAGATGTCATGCCACAAGACATGCCAAAACGACTCTCGCATTGGCGCACTCTGGACCATGATATTGAGTTGGTGTCGGGCGCCAAGCCACCCGCCTGGGCACCTTACAGAATGTCACAACCGAAACTCATTGCGCTTTGGAGACAATTGACGGAAATGCTAGACACAGAGATCATTCAGGCTCTAAACAAAATCACCGTGAAGAACAAGTATCCTATTCTGCTAATGGCAGACTTAATCGATAGACTGGTGGTGCGACGGTGTTCACCAAGAAAGACATAAAGACAAGTTATTGGAAAGTTCGGATAGCAGAGGGTGATGAACACAAGACGACCTGTGTGACAATATATGGGTTGTACAACATCCTAGTTATGCCGTTCGGCTTGACTAGCGCCCCAGCTACATTTTGCACCCTGATGAACCAAGCCTTTCGAGAGTACATTTACGAATTCGGGGTGGTGTACTTGGATGACATTGTGGTGTATAGCCAAACATTGGAAGAACACCTGGTGCACTTGCGGAAGGTCCTAGCTCCTTCACTGGAGCATGAACTATATGTGAAGCAATCCAAGTGCTACTTTGCTCAAAAGCAAATTGACTTCCTTGGACATGTCATCCAAGAAGGGCCTATCAAGATGGACCAACAAAAGATTCAGGCAATCACAGGTTGGCCGCCGCCTAAGGATATCCATGCTTTGAGGGCATTTCTTGGCCTATCCAACTTCTACCGGCGATCTGTGAAAAACTACTCCCTCATCGCTATGCCATTGACAGAACTCCTCAAAAAGGTCATGCCCTGGGATTGGGGCCCTAGACGAGCGGAGGCCTTCAACGCATCGAAAGCGACTATGTTTAGTAGTCCCGTCTAGGACCTCCCTGATTTGGCCAAGCCATTCGAGGTACAAATGGATGCATCCGATTATGCCCACGGCAGAGTCTTGCTACAAGAAGGGCATCATGTAGCATACGAGAGCCAGGAGCTGAAGGATGTAGAGTGGCGCTATGTCGCCCATTAGAAAGAATTATTGGATGTCGTCCACTTCTTGCGCCTTAGGAGGCACTATCTGTTGGGGACCCCGTTCGTGGTCAAGACAGACAACACAACTATTAGCCATTTCACGACCCAGCTGAAGTTAAATGGTCGACAGGGAAGGTGGCAGGAACTCCTAGCTGAATTTCACTTCAACCTGGAGTATCAAAGTGGGTAGACCAATGATGTTGCTGATGCGCTCAGTCGGAGAGCTGATCTAGCATCGGTGTGCCTACTCACCACCCTAAGGGGGAGCTAAGTAGCCACCACCATCAAGGACCAGATATAAGATCTACTCATCAAGGATCCTGCTGCACAGTATTTGGTTGATTTGGTAGGACAGGGCAAGACTCGCCAGTTCTACATGGAAGATGGTTTCCTAAAAGTGAAAGGGAACCGACTTTAAGTTCCTAAAGGAGGAGATCTGCGAAGAATTCTTCTGGCGCAACGATACTCTGTGGGTCGGCCATCCCAGTGAAGAATGAATCATGACGTCACTTCGCCGTGCATATTATTGGCCTCAAATGGCCAATGATGTCGCTCAGTATGTGAATACTTTCCTAGTCTGCCAGAAGGACAAGTCGGACCGCTTGACACAAGCGGGACTCTTGGAGCCATTAGCTATCCCAAAGAGACCTTGGGAGAGCGTTTCCCTGGATTTCATCATCGGATTGCCCAAGGTCGGAGATCTCACAACTATCTTAGTTGTGGGGCCTGCCCAAAGACATTGTTAGTGACCGCGACTCACACTTCACTAGCAACTTTTGGACCCAAATCTTTAAGTGCCTTGGGTCAAAATTGAGTCACAACTCAAGCTTTATTACGCAATCTGATGGCCAGACGGAGCGGTTTAATGGTATGCTGGAGGAATATCTCCGCCACTTTATAACCGGATCGCAGAAGAATTGGGTGAAGCTTTTGGATGCTGCACAACTGTGTTTCAATTCACAAAATAGCTCTAGTACAAACAAAAACGCCTCTGAAATTGTTACCGGACAACAACCATGATAGTAGGCAATATAGTTGATATTTACACCTTAATTGCTTATGATTTGTTGTTGTTTTATAAGTTAAATTGCCAACATATTGCTTTAAATAGTGTTATTTGGTTTCGCAGGGAATAGCATATGTGAGGAAGCAATATGAAGCATTTGGAGGCAACTGTTCACGATCCAGAAATTTAAGGGCCAAAGTGTCAATACGAGGAAACTTTTGTAAAACCCTTATAAGCTATAGGAACTCGCCCAAAAATAGTTTAGTCTGAGTTTGAGATTACATTTGGAAGAAGAACAAGTGTGAGAGATCACCCAAAACATCATAGATCTTTATTTCTTCTCTTTCTCTTGCAATTCTTCCATTATGAATAATTTAGTAGTTTTATCGTATGTTGTTATGAGTAGCTAAATCCTTTAATCTAGGGTTTTAGTGAAACCCGTTGGGGATAACTTCATTGTTATATTAATATAGTTGTGGATTGGTTTTAATCTCTATTTGTTCATCTACGTTTTGATTGTGGTTAATTGAAAGGGCCCTCAATTATCCGTTCCTATTTAGTATGTATCTGCTTGAGAGAGAGTGCATATTTAGGTAGCTGTTTGAACAACATCACTCCCGGAGTATAGACGAGAGTCATAACCGAGGGTTTAGAGGTTGGTTTAGAGATAACGACACCTCGGGTGCAATCTAAGTGAACTGTATTGAGAATCTAGCTAGCGTAGCTTGAGAGAGTGCGTCTAGTAAATTATCATAATTGCTTGAGAAAGATATATGGTAGCTGGAGAGTTCATGATTGATAGAGATAACTAAGTCACAGTTATAAGACATATACAACCAAGGAAATAAAAAACGGGGGATACCATTACCTTAGATCTTATTCCAATTGTTTACACATCAAGCATATTTAGTTTTCAGCTGTCTATTTACTTTCAGTCTTAGCTATTAGTAATACCATCAACTGTGATTTACAAAGTTTGGGGAAGTTGATTCCGTAGAATTGAGTACATCCAAAGAAAGTAATTGATAGGTTAATTCCCTGTGGGTTCAACTCTGGGCCTAAATACCCATACTATATTTGCAACGTCCGCGTGTCTTTTTATAGGGCATAGTTTGGCGTGATCAAATTTTGGCGCTGTTGCCGGGGATTTAACGGTGTTATCAATTACAATTGAAAGAAGTAAAAAATTCTTAGTGTAGTCAGTTTTCTCTATACCCAATCTGTTCATTGAAATTCTAACGTTTGAACTCTCGTGAAAATCAGGTGTATGCCTAGAAGTTCCTCGAGGACTGGAGAACTACTAGAAGGACTTTCAGACCCCGAGAAAACATTCAGGGCATTGAACCGTGCTAACAAGAGGCTCCAACAATCACAACAATCACACCAGCTCGAATTTGACATGGGTGATGCAAAAAACATCATTGGAAACGTTGGGGATCTGCCGGCAAACCCCAACGTAAGAGTAGTGGCACCTCTTGTGCCCGAAGCTGCACTTCATGATTGGGCACAACCCACGACTGATAACTTCGCACTGCCATAGTTGTACCCGCAATTCAAGCGGAGACCTTCCAGATAACCAACAATATGTTGCATCTACTGCAGAATAAAGGATTGTTCTCCGGATCGCACATTGAAGACCCTCAGTAGCACCTGAAAATTTTTTTGTCAATTTGTGTGACCGAAAGGCAGCCAAATGTGACCCCGAAAGCTATCAAGCTGCTATTGTTCCCATTCTCTATGATCGGGGAAGCTCAGACTTGGTTAAATTCGCTCCCTATCAATTCCATTGCCACCTGGGAGGAATTAGTCAAGCAGTTCCTGAACAAGTTCTATCCACCAAACAAGACTGCAAGATAGATTGATGAAATATTGCAGTTTAAGCAGCAGCCGACTGAGTCCTTACAAGAAACTTGGGAAAGATTTAAAGGGATGCTAGAGAAGTGTCCTCACCATGGCATTCCAGACCAGATGCTCGGCCAGAGATTCTACATGGGGCTAGCTGACCATTTAAAAGCAAATGTGGATGCTTCAGCTGGAGGTGCATTATTGAGTAAGACATTCACCGAGTGCAAAATCCTTCTTGACAAGATGTCACAAAATTCGGGGTGGATGACTAGAGCTACAACACTGGCACCCATAGTGCACTCAGTTCCTCTTGACCCAAACAATTCACATGCAGAGAATATGGCCACACTCATGACCCAGATGAGCATATTGACAAAGAAGATTGATGAGATGGGCACAAAACAGGTGCACATTGTTGATACAACAAATGGAGGACTGTGTACACCTTGTATTAATGAGTCTTATGTGTGTTCATGGAGCGGAGAAGGCGAAAATCAAGGGGCAAGGGAAGATATGAATTATGTCAACAACTATGGGGGGTCAAAGGCAAGGAGCACAGCAATGGAGACCGCAGTAAAATCAGCAGTACAGGCCTAACACTCAACAGCCTGGGGGTATCCACCCTCAAAACCAACAGGTGCCAGTACCATATCAGAGACCACAAGGCTATCAACGGCAAAATCAGCAACAATTAACATATCAACCACCTCCTCAGCAGCAAGACAACAACATGATGGAAACCAGGGGTATGCTTCAGCAACTCATTGGGACAAATAACAAAATGCAGGAAAAATTGTTAGTGCATGACCCAGCCATAAAGAACATTGAAACGCAGTTGGGACAGCTGTCCATGGCTCTAAACAACCGCCCTCAAGGGACTTTGCCTGCAGTTACAAACATAAACCCCAAGGAGCAAAACCTGAATCAGCTGATGGCAGTGAGTCTCCGGAATGGAAGAGATTTAGACAGAGAACAGGAAACTATACAAGCCAGTAAGGAGAATACAAGGGTCACTCCAGCGCCATTAGAGGTGGAGGAAACAACAGAGCTTACTGAAGTGGGGGTTTAACAAAGGCAGGAGGAAAAAGGAAAAGAAAAGATGAATGAGGAAGCTGCAGAACAGGTGGCACCTCTTGTGCCAGAAAATTCCAACAGAGAGAAGCCAGCAAGCAATGCAAAAAGGGTGATACCTGCACCCTTCCCGCAGAGACTGGTAAAACAAAAGAAGACTGACCAGTACAAGAAATTCATGGAGATGCTGCGTCAAATTCAGTTGAATATTCCTTTGATGGATGCTCTGAGGGAGATTTCCGGCTATGCCAAGATGATGAAGGATCTAATGTCACGGAAGTTTGATTTTCAGGATCTGTCCACGGTGACTTTGACACAGACCTGCAGCGCAGTAGTAACAAAATCGATGGCTCAAAAGATGTCTGATCCAGGTAGCTTCACCATCCCATGCACAATTGGGAGTTATGCCTTTGCAAATGCATTATGTGATTTGGGAGCCAACATAAATCTGATGTCGCTGGCTGTGTACACCAAGTTGGGCATTGGCAGAGCTAGACCTACCTCAATGTTGCTACAGCTGGCTGACCGCACGGTAAAAAGGCCAACAGGTATACTTGATGATGTATTGGTGCAAGTGGGGAAGTTTGTGTTCCCTGTAGACTTTGTTATTCTGGATTGTCAGGTACATGAAGAGATACCTCTCATTTTGGGTAGACCATTTTTGGCCACTGGAAGAGCATTGATCGACTGTGAGACTGGGGAATTAAAAATAAGACTGAATGATGAAGAAGTCATATTCAATGTTCAGCAATCTATGAGGAGACCCAGTGAATATGCTAATTGCTCTCTAGTGGAGGCAGTAGATGTGATCTTGCAAGAAGATGATTTGACCCTGACTGTTAAAGATCCATTGGAGGCATGTCTGACAAATTTAGAGGAGATGGATGGTGAAGGGTTAGCTGAATGGGTCATGGCACTTGAAGGCCAAGGATTCTGGAAAAGGGAACCTCAGTTCGAGTCCCTTGAGTTAGAAAAAAGGGCTACACCTCTAGCAAAGCCATCAATAGAGGAACCACCCAAGCTGGAGCTGAAGCCACTCCCAGCTCACATCAGGCATGTTTTCATAGGCCCTGACTCTACTTTGCCTGTTATTATATCATCCGGTTTGCTAGATGTGCAGGTAGAACAACTCTTACAGGTACTGCGAAAAAGTAAGACTGACATTGGCTGGACCATGGCAGACATAAAAGGTATCAGCCCAGCCTTCTGTATGCATAAGATTCTCTTGGAAGAAGGGCACAAACCTTCCAGAGAACATCAACGAAGGCTGAACCCAAACATGAACGAGGTAGTAAAGAAAGAGGTAATCAAATGGTTAGATGTGGGAATCATCTTCCCCATCTTTGATAGCATTTGGGTCAACCCTGTCCAATGTGTGCCTAAAAAGGGGGGAATGACTGTTGTGCAAAATGAGAACAATGAGTTGATCTCAACTCGTACAGTCACAGGGTGGCGGATTTGCATGGATTACCGGAAATTGAACACCGCCGCCCGAAAGGACCACTTTCCCTTGCCTTTCATTGACCAAATGTTGGACAGACTGGCTGGGAGATCACATTTTTGTTTCTTAGATGGATACTCGGGGTACAATCAGATATCAATAGCCCCTGAGGATAGAGAGAAAACATCCTTCACCTATCTGTATGGCATCTTTGCCTTTCGGAGAATGCCTTTTGGGCTTTGCAATGCACCAACGACTTTTCAACGGTGCATGTTAGCCATCTTCACAGATATGGTGGAGGATATTATGAAGGTCTATGGATGATTTCTCCGTGGTGGGAGATTCATTCGAAGACTGTCTTCACAACTTAAGCAGAGTGCTCAAAAGATGTGTGGAGACAAACTTAGTGCTAAACTGGAAGAAGTGCCATTTTATGGTACAAGAAGGGATAGTCTTGGGACATCGAGTGTCCAGTAAAGGAATTGAGGTTGACCATGCTAAGGTTGACGTGATTTAGAAGCTACAACCGCCCACTTCAGTCAAGGCGGTGAGAAGTTTTCTTGGACACGCCGGGTTCTACCGGCGTTTCATAAAAGATTTTTCCAAAATTGCTAACCCATTATGCAAACTCCTTGAAAGGGATCAGCCCTTTGTGTTTTCTAATGATTGCAGGTTGGCATTTGAGGAACTGAAGAAAAGGTTGGTAACCGCACCTATCATTATTGCCCCCAACTGGGAGCAACCATTTGAGCTCATGTGTGACGCAAGCGACTATGCCATAGGAGCAGTCTTGGGGCAGCGAAAAGATAAGCTGATGCACCCGATTTACTATGCAAGCAGAACGCTAAGCGGTGCACAGCTCAACTACACTATGACGGAGAAGGAGATGTTAGCGGTGGTGTTTGCTTTTGACAAGTTTCGATCATATCTGATTGGTTCCAAGGTAATTGTATACACTTACCATGCAGCTCTCAGGTACCTAATTGAGAAGAAGGAGTCTAAGCCGCGCCTAATTCGTTGGGTACTGCTGTTGCAAGAATTTGACCTTGAAATCCTTGACCGTAAGGGCACAGAAAATCAAGTCGCCGATCATCTATCACGACTTGAAGGAGCTGAAAAATCAGTCGAGGTCGAAGAGATTCTGGAAACCTTTCATGAATGAGTAGCTGCTCGCAGCTACTCTGGAAGATGCGCCATGGTATGCAGATTTTGCAAACTACCTGGCCTACGGTATAGCTCCGTACGACCTTTCATCTGTCCAAAAGAGAAAGTTTTATCGTGATTGCCACATGTATTATTGGGAAGAGCCTTATTTGTTTAGAATATGTGTTGATAATATTATCTGGAGGTGTGTCCCCGAGATAGAACAATCTTCTGTTTTGCAGGCTTGTCACGCATCAGCATATGGAGGACATTTTGGTGGGGTCAGTACAGCTGCGAAAGTGCTAGAGGCCGGATTCTTTTGGCCAATTGTGTTTAGAGATGCGCACCTCTGGGTAAAGAGCTGCAATGAATGCCAGCGGATTGGGAACATTTCCCGTCGCCATGATATGCCAATGAACCCGATTCAAGAGGTAGAGGTGTTAGATGTTTGGGGGATTGACTTTATGGGTCCGTTTGTCAGCTCATTTGGCAATAAGTATATCCTTGTTGCTGTGGACTACGTGTCTAAATGGGTAGAGGCTGCAGCGTTGCCCACCAATGATGCAAGAGTGGTAGTAGGATTCCTGAAAAAGAACATATTCACCAGGTTTGGGACACCAAGAGCGATCATCAGTGGTGGAGGCACTCACTTCTATAATAGAGCCTTCGAGAAACTACATGCAAAATATGATGTACGCCACAAGGTGGCCACCCCTTACCATCCACAAACCAGTGGGCAGGTTGAAGTGTCCAACAGGGAGATAAAAAATGTACTAACCAAGACAGTGAATGCGACACGAACTGATTGGGCAAAGAAGCTTGATGACGCACTCTGGGCCTATAGAACTGCGTTCAAAACACCAATAGGTATGTCATCATACAAGCTGGTATTTGGGAAGGCCTGTCATCTGCTTGTAGAGCTAGAACATCGAGCTTGGTGGGCACTAAAGCAATTGAACATGGATCCTGACGCAACTGGACAAAATCGACTGACAGAGTTGCACGAGCTGGAGGAATTTAGATATCAAGCCTTTGAAAGCATGAGGCTATACAAGGAAAGGATGAAGAAGCTGCATGACAAACATATTATGAACAGAGACTTCAAACCCGGTGACAAGGTATTACTGTATAATTCAAGGTTGAGATTGTTTCCGGGTAAGTTAAAGTCTCGATGGTCAGGACCATTTAGAGTGGTGCAAATGTTCGCAAGTGGAGCAGTTGAGATCGAGTCAGAAGATGGGACAAGCAAGTTCTCAGTAAATGGGCAAAGGTTGAAACATTACCTTGGAATAGCTAAAGAGAAAGGGGATACAGTGGAGATCAATCTGAAAGAACCCCAGTACGCGAATGAGGAGTGATGGCTCAACTACTTGCGTCGTGCCGCGACGTTAAATCAGGCGATGCGTGGGAGGCAACCCAAGAATGTATTGTAAGTGTAGTATGTAACTTCATGTAAAAAAATAATAAAAAAAATAAAAAAAAAAGGAAGGATACTGCCAGTCCCGCGACCGCGGCGTGGACCGCGGTCAACCACGGAAGACACTGCCTTGGCGAGCAAAAATCCCCTGCGACCGCGGCGCGGACCGCGGTGAACCGCGAAAATCATTGGAGGTTTCTACAGTTCACCGCGATCGCGGGGCGAACCGCTGTGAACCGCGGGACACACTGTCTCGCAAGTAAAAATACCCCCGCAGTTCACCGCAGGTATAGTCTTTTTTTTATTTTTTTTCGCTTTCTTTCCCTTTCTTTTCTTGTTATTTCTGTTTCAAATCAACCTAAACCCCACCCT